CATGTCCCCCACTGGGGATTTGGCCCACAACCTGGGCATGTGCCCTGACTGGGAATCAAACTGGTGACCTCTTGGTGCATGGGTTGGCGCTCAACCACTGAGTCACACCGGCTGGGAAAAGCAAGTGAAATCTTAAACTCTTCCCTCTCCCAGGCTCTCCTACACAAATGTGGAATAAGAGACAAAACAGCAGTAAGCTGTTTTGATTCAAGGGACTTTGGCCTGTTGCCACTACCACATGTCTGAAGGTGTCTATAAACTAATCCATACAATGCAAGTCAAGAGAATCTGTTAGCCTTTCCAGCCTCCAGCCTTCATCTCTGGCTTAATGCTGAAACCCTATCACCTAGAATAGTGTCTGGACCATTGTAGGAGCTCAAGAAATGTGTTGGCTGTATAGATAGCTACTTCAAATTAGTAGGATTTTGCACATGGCAAGCCACCTTACAGCAAGATCCACAGCTCCTCTTGTGTTCTCCCTTGTACTGATTTAAAATGAAAAATAAAACAAAGTCTTTCACACAAGAGAAGGCAGTCATAAGCAAAACAGATGTGCTACATTGCAGCGGTGAAGGCTATGGGTTGAAGTGAAAAAACCACCAAAGCAAAAATGGCTTTCCTTCTTGAAAATAAATGTTCCTTGCTTTTTATGACTTTTAGGCCGAAGGTTATTTAAAATCTTCCCCAAGAATACAGCTAGGCTGCTGTGAGATAGTCCTTCATTGGTTGAGAATTCCCCAAGGGCTTCTAAACAAGTATGCACAGTAATTTTGTTTTATTTAGTTATTTATTTTTGACAGAGGCTTTCAAGATTTGTGCCCTTTTCCTCAGCAATTTTTTAATTAGCATCTCTGTTACCTCCGAGTGAGACAATTGCTAGAACTGCTGCAATGGCTGCCTGATTGACATGCGAGAGGCATCTCAAAAACATTCAGCTTAAGAGAGAATCTGTAAAGCCTGTCTGTTAGAAAATAAATGGTTGCAAGTGAGTGCCAAGTTATGGGCAGTTCTGCAGCAGAAGATGGTGGTGAGAATCAAGAACATGCATGGGAAAATACTGTGGAAATCATGAAATGGTTCCAAAAAGGAAGAATTGTTATTGAAGTGCTAATGACGGTGCCAAATTAATACATTTGCTACCATCATTTTTATCTTCTTTAAAATTAAAGAAAATTGGTTTAAATCACAGACTAAAATGGAAACTTAGGCTAACAGTTCAAGCAAAAAATGCTGGGCTCTTATCCAAATTGATGCATGACACCCTGCACAGAGCAGCAGGCAAAGTGTTCATCTTTTAGAATGGCCATGATGTTGCTAATGAACTGATAATCACAGTGCAATTTGTCTGTTTTTTTTCCCCCTATTTCAATAGCCTCTCACCTTTTAGAAGCACAAAATCAGCTTTTTTTTCCAGCTATTTTTTTTTTTTACCTAAGTGGAATATGAGTAGGGTTCGTATGTACAGAGAAAAAAAAAGAGCAGCCAAAGTCAATGTCACCAAATCCTGAGCTACAGCACTCATTCATTCTACCATCCTGAGCAGAACCTAATCATGCTCAGTTTGTACACAAGACTTGTCTTTATGGTTTTCAAGGCCACAGTGGACTATAAGCAACACATTTTTATTAGGGAAATGACCAATTTAATCAGATATACTGCACATTGATAGTGAGAAAAGATACCAGTGTAGTGCCTGCAATATTAAAGTCAAGGTGGAAAAACTTCCGGTCAATATGGCGGCGTAGGTAAATGTGGTATCGTGTCCTCCCACAACCACATCAAAGTTACAACTAAACTACAAAACAACTATCATTCAAAACCGCCTGAAATCAAGCTGAATGGAAGTCCTACAACTACGGAATTAAAGAAGCAGCCACATCCAGACTGGTAGGAGGGGCGGAGGCGGAGGTGGAGGGGCTGATCCCACACCCACGTGTGGTGGATAAAAACCTGGAGGATACCTTGGCTGGGAAGGTCCTCCCTGAGGACTGAGGGGTCCCCATCCCACACCAGGTGCCCTGCTCAGGGTTCCAGTGCCAGGAAGAGAAGTCCCCATCACTTCTGGCTGAAAAAAACAGCAGGAACTGAGGCTCAGGGAAGCTGACATGGTTGGAGCCCCAGGCAGCTCCTTAAAGGGCCCACGCACAGACTTATCAGACTCACTCCCTCTAAGCTTGGAGGGGAGGCAGCTCAAGGGGCACCAGAGACATACAGGGAAGAACTGAGCTGTTTGGCACTGGAGATAGGGCTGGAGAGGGGGCTTTCTCCTGGACAAACGTACTGTCAGAGGCCTTTGTTCCTTTGGTGAGCCCTTTCCTGGGGCTGCAGACAGCCGCCATATCTGGGACTCCAGCAACCTGGCCACACTGGTTGCCCCGCCCTTGTGATTCCCTGAGGCCCTGCCCCACCCAACTTTCAGGCCCACCCAAGCTGTTGCCACTTGCTTAACCATAGGATTGGCCTGTCTTGGATCCTACTTCAGGTTTTCCTAAATTCTTTCAAACAAGCAGCATCTGGTCGCAGCTAGCCCCATACCGCTCATTAAGTAATACACAGAAACAAACACAGGGAGGCAGCCAAAATGAGGAGACAGAGAAACAGGTCCCAAATGAAAGAACAGAACAAAACCCCAAGAAAAGAACTAAGCGAAATAAAGATAAGCAACCTAACAGATGCTGAGTTCAAAATACTGCTTATAAGGATGCTCAATGAACTTAGTGAGAACCTCAGTGAACTTAGTGAGGGCCTCAAGAGCATAAAAACGGACCAGTCAGAAATGATGGATGCACAGTCAGAAATGAAGGAGGCATTAACTGAAATAAAGAATAATTTACACAGATTCAATAGTAGAGTAGGCAAAGCCAAGAAGCAAACCATCAATTTGGAATATAAGGAAGCAAAAACCACCCAATCAGAACAGCAAAAAGAAAAAAGAACCCAAAAAAATGAGGATAGTGTAATGAGCCTCTGGGACAACTACAAGCATGCCAACATTCGCATCTCAGGAGTGCCAGAAGGAGAAGAGTGAGAACAAGAAATTGAAAACCTGTTTGAAACAATAATGGCAGAAAACTTTCCTAACGTGGTGAAGGAAACAGACATACAAGTCCAGGAAGCACAGAGAGTCCCAAATAAGATGAACCCCAAGAGGCCCACACCAAGACACATCATCATCAAAATGCAAAAGGTTCAAGACAAAGAGAGAATCTTAAAAGCAGCAAGAGAAAGGCAGTTAGATACCTACAAGGGAGTTCCCATAAGGCTGTCAGCTGATTTCTCAAAAGAAACTTCGCAGGCCAGAAGGGAATGGCAAGAAATATTCTGAGTGATGAAAAGCAAGAACCTACAACCAAGATTACTCTATCCTGCAAAGCTATCATTTAGAATCTATAGCCATATAAAGGGTTTCCCAGACAAGAAAAAGTTAAAGGAGTTCATCACTACCAAACCGTTATTATATGAAATGTTGAAGGGTCTTTTTGAAGAAAAAGATAAAATATATGAACAAACAAAATGGCAATAAATACATATCTATTGATAATGGAATCTACAAACAAAATGAACAGGCAGAACAGAATCATTCTCATAGATACAGAAAACATTTTGTTGGTTGCCAGATGGGAGGGGGGTTAGGGGAATGGGTGAAAAAGGTGAAGGGATTAAGAAGCACAAATTCATTGCTAGACTGACAAACCTCAAAGGGAAAGGGGTTGGGGGGTGGGAAGAAATAAACCAAAGAACTTATATGCATAACCAACGGACACAGACAATAGGGTGGGAAAAGGCGGGAGTGGGGAGGAGAGGGTCAATGTGCAATCCATTTTAGAAATATATCTTTAATAAATGCCTTAAAAAATGTTTTAATCCTCACCGAGGATTTTTTTTCTATTTATCTTCAGATAGAGTGGGGAAGGGAGAGAGAAAGAGAAACATTGATGTGAAAGAGACACATTGACTGGTTGTCTCCTGCACGACCCCGACCATGGCCAAGGATGAACTGCAACCAAAGTACGTGCCCTTGACAGGAATCAAACCCACGACTCTGGTCCACAGGCCTACGCTCTAACCACTAAGCAAAGTCATCCAGGGTAATACCTTAAATTTTAAATAAAACTTTAAGTAGGCAAACTTGCTACCTAAAATGATGTATTCCCTAATAGTTCTGAGTCCTTGAAATTCTCACAAGTCCTACATCTTCTATTTTCCTTATCCTAGTTTCAGAGCTAAGACTACCTGTGCCTTTCCAAGCATTTGAAACTAGTTCTTTCCCTCTTGGTTTACCGTCCAGCTAAGTGATCTTACCACTACCACCTCCCCTTCCCAAAAAACATGTCCCAGGGATCCTAGTTTTGTGGCTACCAAAGCTCCAGCCTATGCAGCTAACGTCTACCTCATACCTAGTGAGGCCTAAGAACTGGGTCAGTGAGATCACTGTGCTGGAAGTTACTAGAAATATGGAGGAGGGTACAGGGATGGATTGGTGAAGGAAAAACCAGGGGAAGAATACAATTATTCTTTATTATAGATCGCTATGGTCTAAATTGTGTCCCACCTAAAATTCATATGTTGAAATCCTAACCTCCAGCATGATGGTATTCACAGATGTGGCCTTTAAGGAAAATTTGGTTGAGATGAGGTCATAAGGATGAGGTAATCGTGATGGGATTAGTTTCCTTCTTAGAAGAGACCAGAGAGCTTGCTCTCTGCCCTCCTCCCTACTTCCCCACTCCCACCCTCAGCAAGAAAGAAGCCATCTGCAAGCCAGGAAGACCGTCCTCACCAAAGTCCAACCATGCTGGCACCCTGACCTTACAGTTCCAGCCTCCAGACTGAGAAGATAAATTTCTGTCCTTTAAGCCACTCAGTTTAGGATATTTTGTTATGGAAGCCTGAGCAGACTAAGACACAACACTCCCCCCACCACACACCCAGCAACTCTTATTCACCATTTGCTATCATCCCCGTAGAAAAGGGTTTAAGGTTCTTACCTTTCCAACCCATAGGTCAGCATGGGAAGGAAACAATCTCCCCAGGGAGGGGAAGGACAAAGCAGGAAATGATGAGGCTGATCATTCCATATATATTTTAATAACTCCTTGGTCCAGCAAGCTTCTGCTCTGACTTGATATTCCCCCTGTGGATGCCAGCACCAGGAATCTGGGCCTCTGCAGTAAAGGAGCTCATAATGATTATTTATATCTTAGGAGAGAGGAAAGAACAAAATTTAAACCACAGACGAGATAAATAATAGTGTTGTTAACAAAGCATATTTCCACCAAAGATAGTAGTTTTTTAAAAATATGATCAGATAATCAAAAAGGATCCTGAAAGTGGTTCCTTACTCCTAAAAAAATAAATAAAATCTGTGTTCTGGGTACTCAATGAAAAGAAACCAAAGTTTGACCTAGTGTGAGATTCACCCCATGGTGAGCTCAGAGAAGGCTTGAAGGGCTGCAGGAGAACAGCTATGTTCAAGTCAAACCTGAGTGCTAAGGAGTCCCAATTATAACTGAATCTCGTTGGAACCTCCATGACTATACAATGCTGGCTGCTAAAAATATCACCAAAATAACCTGTAATAAGACTATTCTAACTGTGGTAAGGGAGAGCACTGCCCCAACAGCCATAGTAGCATCTCATAGGGGAAAAAGAGAAGCTCAGATATTTACAGGATTTTAAAGTCCGATTTATAGCAGGTCTTTCAACAAAGAGGCTTGGTTCGAATTGAGTAAGGATCATCATGATAGTTTAGGACTGGTAGACTCAGAAAATATTTTGAAGTAAGGAGTTCTGAGGTCTTGAGGTATATACTGGGATACTCTCTATGAAAGAGTTGATAGATCTTTTAGGAAGTTCCTAGAATGAACAATAAAGTTATTTGTAACTTTTGTCTTCTAAGGTAAGAGCATCCTAGACAAGAGTAGCATAATATGCCAGCCCCATATAAATATGCCACTTTGACATAAGGATAATTTTGAGCTGAAGGCAATTGAGAGTAACAGATTTTTTTTTTAAAGGTGCCCCCCACCCCCCTTCTAGAAAAACAGAAGTTACCAGGAAAAACTCTAGACCAGCGGTTCTCAACCTGTGGGCCGCAACCCCTTTGGGGGTCAAATGACCCTTTCACAGGGGTCGCCTCAGACTGTTAGAAAACACATATTTCCAATGGTGATTCATAACAGTAGCAAAATTACAGTTATGAAGTAGCAACAAAAATAATTTTATGGTTGGGGGTCACCACAACATGAGGAACTGTATTAAAGGGTCGCAGCATTAGGAAGGTTGAGAACCACTGCTCTAGACTCTTACCAACCCAGAGATGGCATTTTACTAACTAGCCCTTATCTTCCATTAGTTCCTCCATATATTTACCTTCCCCCAATTTGCCACTCTAGAATCTCAAAGTTCTTGCCTTATCAATTCTCTAAAACTTTGTTGTTCTTTTATTAAGACACTACATAAGCCTAGCCTGTATGGCTCAGTGGATTGAGCATCACCTTATGAACTGAGAGATCCTGGTTCAATTCTCAGCCAGGACACGTGCCTGGATTTCAGGCTCAGTCCTCAGTAGGAGACATGCAGGAGGCAGTAGATCAATGTATCTCTTTCACATCAATGTTTCTATCTCTCTATCTCCCTTCCTCTCTTTCTTTTTTATTTTTTTATTATTTTATTTTATTTGGGAAATCACAGGGGTCAGCACATTCGGAGTGCAATGGATAAGCCTCGCCCTAGGAAAACCACCTTCGTAATCATGGTATTTCCCCTGCCAGGTAAGTATTCCCTTCCCCTCATTCTAAAAAATCAATAAAAAACATTAAAAAAAAAAAAAAAAAAAAGAATGCTACATAATCCCAAATTCTAACCACCCCTTTGAGTTAGTCATCTCTGAACATTTCCATTTGCAAGTGGGATGCACATGTTTAATAATCTTCTGTTTATTTTTTTCCTGTGAATCTGGTTTTTGACCATCTAATTTATAGGGTTCCAGTTGAAGAAACTAGGAGGGCAGAGGGAAAATGTAATTTTTCCTCCCCTGACACAGGAATGACAATGTTCTACTGAAGACAACAGTGAAGAGTAAAATCAGGTCATGTAGAAATAATTTGTGTGGATGGTTTTCATTCTCTATAATACTCCTAATTGTGTTCAGTTGTGTACATGTGTGTTTCCCACCCAATAACTTGTAAATTTTTTCAGAGCAGAGATTATATCTACTCCTGAAACACTGCCCATTGTTTTTTCTTTCATATTGTTTCATCTTCAAAATCACCGTCATCTCTAGGGCATGTATATGTTCTAGAAGTTTCTATTATAATTTCCACACCTTCTGTAGGCAAAAAGCTGTTAAACAAGATGAGAAACACCAGTTGTGGGTTTTTCTAAATAAAAAACTAAAATTGTCTTATATTCTCTAAGCACGTTCAATTGAATTCATTCAGAGAGTGTGTGTTTTGAGCTAATTTTAACTTGGATTGATTGTTAAGCCTTCTCAATTGTTTGCAAAACAGTGCTAAAATAAGATAACTTGGATATATAAAAGTGTATTGTTTTTTTTTTCCATAGCAGTGCTAAGTGTTTAAGAATCACAATTGTAAAAATTCCATTTCAATGTGTCTTTATTTTTATTACACCAGTTTGTCATCAGCAAAACACTGTGAAGTTTCCTGAGGAGAGACGAATTCCTTTGCATTTGAAATGCCTCAGAAAGAAATGTTTCTAATTATCACTGGTATTATTTCAGATCCCATGTTAGTCACAGGTGCCCCATTGATGACCTTTTCTATAAACCTGATTTTATTTATATCTTGTAAAATGCTTTTCACTTTCAGAAAAAATGTTGCTCTTCCTTTTCTCGCTTTTATTGCATATTATGGATCACTTCATCAAACGTTATAAGGAAAGGAATTTGAAATGAATTATAAGTTGATGGAATGTTTCTCAGACACATCACTTGAACAACAAGAATGTTCTATGACAATAGCAATGGTTGGGACTTTTTACAGCTGGATTTGCCATACCCAGGCACCCTGGGCATTTTCTCAATTACTCCTTAGGCCTATTTCACATTCCAGATTCAAACTGAGATCCTTGGGTAACTGGGCTTCTGAGAATTCAAATTCTACTTCTATCTCACGTTATCATTCTTTTTCTTAAATAATCTATCAAAGTCTCTTCTTTTGGAGTCTTGAGCACAATTATAAGCTAAATGCAACTCTGTATTCTCCACAGTTGTCAAGTGATGAATTCCAGTGTCCCCTAAAGGCAGCAGAAAAGTGTTATATGGGGTTGCATAAGTCCAAATCAATAAAAACATACCCATCTCTTACATTTTATAATTTGTTTTTATATCATGATCTGCACCTTTTTTAAAAAATATGTTTTTATTGACTTTAGAGAGAGGGAGAGAGAAATAGAAACATCAATGTGAGATAGAAACATCAATATCAATCGGCTACCTCCTGCATGCCCCCAAATGTGGATCGAGCTGGAAACCCAGGCATGTGCCCTGACTGGGATTGGAACCAGTGACCTCTTGGTGTATGGGACTACGCTCAGTCACACCATCCAGGGCATGATCTGCACCTATTATTATTATTATTATTACTATTACTATTAATTTTTATTATTTTAGAGAGAGAGAGGGATAGAAACATTGGTGTGAGAGAAATACATAGATTGGCTGCCTCCTGCACACCCCCAACCGGGGATCGCTCTCACAACCCAGACATGTGCCCTGATCAGGAATCGAATCGGAACCTCTCAATCCATGGGATGATGCTCAACCCACTGAGCCACACTGGTCGGGCTGATCCACACCTTTTAAAGTGTTAGAGGGGAAAAGCTAAGAAAGGCAGCTTCAAAAGAAATAGGAGATAAGGTGAGCACTGCCTTTTATCCTGCTATTAAAATCTTGAATGGTCTAACTACAGTTAGGCAGATAAATGCCTACAGTTGTATTTCCCAAAACATGATAAATAGTAAGCAATAAATGAGCAAAGAGGGCACTTTCATTGCATACCTTCGAGAAAGCTGAATTAAACAAAGATGTCTCTACTGCAGAGCCTTTAAGTTCTGAGGAGGATATATAGTATGCAATGTTTATGTGTAAACATAAACAAAGGTCATGTGTAAAATAGAACACTTTTTCACAGAATGTTTCTTAGAACTGAGTTTAAAGAAAAACCATCAGGAAATGGAGGGCTAAAGAATTAATATCCATTAACAAATGGTTTCAGGTAGCTCTGTTCTATCCTTTATCAAAAGCATATGAAATTCATCTTCTCTTATTGAAAATTTCTGCCGTCATGGGACTAATCTAAATAAATAAAATGAGGTATATGCCTGTCCTTCATTATTTGCTGTGGCCAGAGGGGGAAAGAATATGTTTGTTAGATAACCTGGGACATGTGGCCATCCATAATGTCCCCACCTCTGGGAAGGTGGGAAAGTCAATGGGGCCTGTCCTACCCACATGGACTAAGTGAAAACTCATTGGCCACTACATTTGGCATAATAATATCTACCTTTTAGATATTATTAATGAGATCAATGTATTTAAAGCATTGTAGCACAATGCCTGCCTGGCTCTTAGGAAGTGGTAAATAAATGGTAATTTCTATAACAATAATAAAGATCAACATCATCATACTCTCTATCTATTCAGGGTATGCCATCCTTAGGCATTCTAATCTAGAGCAACTGCCTCCCAACTGATTTACCCCTAATCTTGTAAGATCATTCTTCAAACTGCATCTAAATTATCTTTCAAAAAGTCTTATGTGAGCTCTGGCCAGGTGGCTCAGTTGGTTGGAGCGTCATCCCATACACTAAAGAAATGTTGTGTGTTCAATTTCTGGTTGGGACACTTACAAGAGGCAACAAACCAGTGTTTCTCTCTCATGTGAATGTTTCTCTCTCTCTTTCCTCCACCTAAAATCAATAAACATGTCCTTGAGTTAGGATAAAAATTAAAAAAAGAAATTCTTATCAAAATATGCTATACACCCCTACCCTTCATAGAACTCTATAAAGCTCAAATACTTGCATACAGGAATATCTCTCTGCTGGCTGGTAAAAGTCTACCTTTCCAAGTTTATCTTCCACCATTTGCCTGGTTCCATGGTCTCTGCATTTCAGCCCTACAGTACCTCTTATCCTTGAG